TTTTTTTAGTATCAGTGTGATTAGAAATGATATTATTAGTATTAAATTGACTTTTTATATTTGAATTAAATACCCTTCTCTTTATTTCACTGTTGATCACATATTAGGTAATCGTTGTTTAAAGTACTATTGCTACTTAATTATCTGAACATTTTAATATATTAAATTATTGCCTTTAAATTTTCTTTCATTTATTTAAAAACAATGGTTATAGTTCATATTGACAAATAGAATTACATGATTTATTATCATAATACAGTTTGGAGAATTATAATAAAACAGTATTAAATTCAGTTAATTTAAATATTTTATATAGCTTTGTTTTTATGTAGATGTTTTTAACAGATAATTAGAATAATATTATTAATAACTGTTGTAACAACTATATTTTTAGTCGGTGTCGTCTTTTTATTTGATAATCATTTATATATTCCAATTCATCTTTTCGTTTATAGATACTATTTTCTTCAAAACAATGCCATATTAATCAATTATCTTGTTTATTCTTTAATCTTTTCTTTTTCTGGTAGGATAAATTTGTGTCTCAATTCATTAAAAAATCTTTTCTGGTTTATTGATTTAGTAATACTAATTTATTTCTCGTTTTATTCATTAACCTAGACATTCTTTGTATACATAATGTTTAATTTTACTATTGAATAATCCATCTTTTTAAAAAGATGAATTAATTTATCATACAATATTCTTTAGAATTATTTTTATTGTATTATTTATCTAATAATTATTATTATAAAAAATATGGTTGAGGTTATTGGCATGGTTGATGATATTCTTTCCTTCATTCTATAAATATTACAAGTATCATTTCTATTAGTCTCATATTCATAAGATAAGTAACGTATTATTCCTCATCTATATTATGTAAACCATCATCAAAAATGAATAAACTAAAACATTAAATAAATAAAATAAACCAACATCACAACCATCATGTTTGGTTATGAATTATACAATTAAATAGATATACACTAATTCACTACTGTTAATACTCTTTTAAGTTTTAAACAACGACTAACCAAATTAGAGCACATATTAACAATAATGATGTATTATTTAATTAATACAATCGAAAGAGAATTGGCATGATACAAAATAAAAAAAAGATAGTCTGATTAATGACATCTATTTAATTTAATCAATCAGTTATTTAAAATTTTATTGTTGTATTAATTTAGAATAATTCTAATGACTAATAATGAGAGAAGTGAAGTTCATATTATTATAAAAACTTCTAAATGTCTAACACAAAAAAGAAGAATAAAAATTAAAATAAAAAGAACTTAGGCAACAATTTAAATGAAACACAACAATCAAAGTCTCAGAAATTAATCATTAGCTTGTTCTGTTTTAATTTGAGTTGGGACTTGTTTCTTTAAAAGATATAATTCAGTTGCCAATCTTTTCCATTGGTCTTGTTTTTCTTTTTGTTCACTGAGTAATTGTTCTACTCTCATCTGAAGTTGAGCAATTTCATCTATTTGCTCACTTACTAAAAAATAAATTTTGTTGTTCCTACGTTTCACATAAAATAAAAAAAAACAAACATTTTTGAGACAATTCCATCTTTTTATTTCTTATTCCACTAAACTCATTCCATAACTCTCTGAGATATTCTCTAATTGCATTTACATGACTATCATATTTAGCATAAATATTGTTTTGTTCTTCAGCTTCCATTAATCGTTATTTTGTTTTTCAGTCTTTTAAGTTCATTTTTTTTTATTTTTTGTTTTTTTTTAACGTTAAAATAGTTTCTTTTATTATTAATTATAGTTTCTTCTGTTTTTCTCTTTTTTCAAAAAACATAAGTATTTATTTTTTGTTATTCAAGGGTAGAACTGAAGAAAAAGGAAATGATACATAATTATTAATTTCATGCAAAATAACAAGTGGGATATAATTTACTCATCACTAAATAAACTTAAAGGAAATGAAAGGGAAGTTCCATTTTCATTAAATATTTTTAATTCGAGAGAAGATATTGTCATGATGTTATTGTTCATTGAGAAGAATGGATCAACTATTGGATGTATTATATTAATTAATGAATTAATAAAAGAGTTAATAAAATGTAAAGAGGTTATTAATCTTTTTGATAATCAATTATTTTTCCAAATACTTCAACTGAGAAAGGGTTGTAATAACAAAGTTGTTTGCTCTTTATTAAATAAATTAGAGAGTATTACCGTTATTATACAATTTATTAGATATCACATGGAAATAGAAGTATGGATGAATTTATTAGAACGTTATTTTGGAAATGAAATAGACTTGGAAATATGGAAATGTTTGAGTGAAATTCAAAATCTTTTTCTTAAGAAAACACTTCCTTTTCAAAGTGTTTATCAAATTAAAACTAGGCTACTCTTTCCTATGACGTCATATTATTCTACTCTTTTGAGCCAAGGAAGAAATGATATTATTAGATTTAATATACTTTCGTTATTGATTGAAATAAACAAAGAGGCAGAAAGTGATGACAAGTATTGGAGTCTTATAAATGAAGAAATAATTCTGAATGCATTTGAGTATTATTACGAAAGTGAAGATGTTTCAATCTTTGATTTTATCTTAAATTTTTGTGAGGTTAAGAGGATGACAATTTCAAAAAGAAAAGTTTTTGTTACAAACTTTATTAAAGCAAGTTCTCGACTATTAAATAATTATTGTTTCAAAGATATACAACATATTAAATATATCGTCAGAATGTTATACAAATTCTTAACATGTTTTACATTGTTAGATAATCAAATAGACTATCTAAAATCATTATGTATATTTACTATTCAATGTATTCAATTAAATGATTTTACTATCATTTATTATTTACTTCTTTCCTGGAAAAGGTTAATTGAAATAACATCAATACGTTCTTATCCATTAGACTATTCATTTAAACAACCATTATGTGATGTTATAATGAAAATATTTCCTCATATACAATCTCTACTTAACGGTTTAATAACATTAGACTTAAATAAATACAATATTGAAACTGATGACACAACAACAATTAATGATTTTTATGACTCAATTGGTGTCATTTGTAAATTTTGTTTAAACAATGTCCAACCATATTTATTAACACAACTTCATCAGTGTATTAAAACAAATAACATCTCATATTTTCTTATTTTACTTCAAATAATAACTAAAATCATTGCAAATTCTGGTATAAATAACAGAGAAGAGGAATTTACTGATATGAAAGAGGCTGAACTTATTCAATCAATTCTTTCTGTATTAAGAACTACAAATATAATACATTTTGGTGATAATGGGTCTATTTGTATTATTGGATTATTAAAAGAATTAAGAGGAATTGCATTAAACAGAAGCAATGAGAAAGTTTGTTGTAAATTGATGTATTTTAATGAAATTAATATAAATTCATAATTAGGGATTACATCTTATTGATTTTGGAATAAACTCATTGACAGAATTTTGTTCTCAATCATTACAAATAACTGAATTAATCAATAGAGAATGGAGTGGAAATAAACAAGTTTTAATGAAAGTATTTGAGTGGTATGAAATATTATTAAAAACAACAGGAATATTTGAAGAAATAAGAAAATATTTTTATCAACAAAAAATTCTTGAAAAGTACATGATTATTACTTGTAAATGTAAAGGAAGTTTAGAAGAAAAGAAAGAATTAATTATATTAATATTTAAGGTAATTTCTAAAGTATTGATTACATATAAAAATGATGTATCTTCTTCTTTAGAACTTATTGAATCAAAACAATTATTTGAATTTCTTCATTTAATGATTTGTCATAATTTAACAGAACAAGAGTTATTTATTAATTGTATTGGTTGGAAATTATTATTAAAAGATTGTCAAACCTCCTCTCAACAAAATATAATGACAATTCAATCATTTATTATTGCAAATATCATTCCACTATTATTTAAATGGTATTCATCTTCAAATAATCTTATTAAAAAAGAAATCTTTCATTTTGTAAAACAATTGGTTCAATTCACTCAAATTCCATCTGAATGTGAATATCAAATTCAAATATCTCAAAAAGTAATCAATAATTTTATATATCCATTACTCTCAAACCAAAATAAATCCATTGATGAAGTTAAATCAATAATAAAAATATATGACACTTTATTATCATCTCATTATTATGATATTTCTTATTCATTATTCTATCATGACACATTAATTATTCAGTGCTTTAAAATTATTCATTATTATCTCCCTAAAATTATTAGTAATACAATGAAAATGAATAATACAGTAAATAGATTTATTAATTTAACAACACAATTTATTTCTAAAAAAATTATTCAATTTGATATTCCATTCATATTTTCTCTCTTTGAATTAATTACATTAACATATAATAATCATTTTATCCAGACATATTCTTTAAATAAATTATTAAAGACATTATTCATTTTTATTAGATCAAATGACTCTTCCTTATTCAATACTTCCCAATGTATAACATTTTCAGAAAATATTATAATTCAATCAATCTCTAATGCAGCAGAACATTATGACAGTTTATACTCGGAACTTATTCAAACAATAATAACTTATTATCCTTCTTTATTATCTCAGTCAGTTTCTATTCAATCTTCAATTCCATATGATAAAAGCTCTACATATAGAAGAATGGTTATTGAATTAGAACAAAGACTATTAAATAACCATAAAACTTTTTCATATTCAAGTTGGCTTTATTCATTTATAAATGCCATCTACCCACAGTCTATAGAATCAGTATCTACTTAGTTGTATATTAAAGAATGTCTTGAAATAAGAGAAAGTAAGAAACTAATTTAATAATATCCAGAAGAAACTATTAAACAAGAAATAAAATAAATGGCATTATTAACTTCAGAAGGTTAATAAAATATACACATAAAAATGTAAGAATGAACAATATGAAAAATAGTAATTATACTATTTGATTCTGATATTAATAACTAGAGTCATAGACTATCACTATTTAATAAAAGAATAACTAAAAAAATACATTTAATGATTATTTTTGAAGATACACAAAGAAACAAGTTTGGCAGATATATTAATTTTAATATTAATAAAGTTAGTGAATAACTCAATCACTCAATTTGTATTTTCATTTAAATCAACTGAAAGAAAGAATATTATAATGAATTCTGATATTATGGAACTAGAAGATACGTTTTATTGATGTAGTTAATTAGACAATTATTAAGTTGTTATTCTAAATAAATCAAAAAGGATATTATTCAAAAGTGGATAGATTAAGATAAATGTAAAAAAAAGAATTATTAAATAATTTATAACAAAAAATCTAATTAACTTATAAAAAAAGTTTAAGAATTTTTTAAGTAATACTTCAAAACAAACAATTGAATAAAAAAAATAAAGAAATATACAAAATAAAATAAACAGAAATTAATTAAATATTAAGTTTTGAGAAAGAATGATATTTGATAATTCATTTGAAGATTTTGGAATTGTAATTATAGAAGTTAATGACAATTTTGAATTAATAAAAGAATTAATCAAATAACCTCTTTCAATAAAGTCATTAAGATCCATGATTAATCTTCCACCATAAAAAATTTTTTCAATTCTTTCAAGGCGTAAAGTTTTTCCAGTATTACGAGCAAGTTTAGATTTAAACTGAAATCCTTTTTCTCTTAAAAGATCAATAAGAAGATGTTGAATAAAGATCTTTCTATTTTTTTCAAATCTTCTCATTGCTGTTTGTTTTTTTTTAACAAGTTTACATTCATCTTCATAAACTGGACGCTGAATAATATCAGCAAGTTCTTGCACATTAATTTCTTCATCATCAAATTTAAGACTAATTATTTGAGGATATGGAAGATTTCTAATTGACTGTTTCTTTTGTCTTTTTAAAGTTATTGTACAAAATCCATTTAAGAATGATAAAAGAATACTTTGTTGAATAACATAAAATTCTTTATAATCTTCTTTACTTTGGAAAAATGGATGTTCTTGTTTTCTTTCTGGATTTCCTTTTGATTCTCTTGGAGTTTTAGGAATAGTTGGCATTTGTTTCTTTGACTAGATGAACTAAAGATTCTGTCTAAATCTTTTATAACAAAATTTCTACTTTTAGATTTTCTATTTTTCTATATGTTTTTGGGATTTTTCTCTCATCTCTTTCGAATTTTCCCAATAATTCAATAGCGAAAATCAATGAATTTGCAAATCCGCTCATTTAAATCACAGATCATTTCTATTTTTAGAATTAAGATCTACAGTAAGATTCTTTTTTTACAAAAAGTAATTGACAAAATTTGTGTTGTACTATATTTATTTCATTTGTAGTATTTTTAATTGCTGAATATCTATTATTGGAACAAAAAGATTTTATATTAAGAATTGCTAAAGAAAATTTAAACAAAAAAAATCTAATCAAATAACAAAAAATAAAATAGTAAATAGTAAATAAAATAACTATTAAATTTTAATTTTCTTAAGAAGTAGTTATTCTAATTGTTTAATATTCTTTTGATTAGATATTGTGTATTTTTTTTAATAACTAAGAGATAAAGTGGAGTTATTCTAATAGTTAATACTTTCTTAAGGAGAAGATTATGTATATTTTTAATAAGAATTTGACTTATAATAATAGTAATTTTAGCTTTTGAACTATAAATAGAATTTGTTTTAATGTTTTTGTTTATCATTTATTACAGAGTTATATTATTAAATACTGATGTAATTTTACATTATTTTTTATGAAAAAGGGAAAAGTAAAAGAATAAAAGATAAATGATTTGTTAAACAAAATACGCTTAATTCCTTTTTTTGAAAATAAAATGAAAAATAATAAAACATTTAAATAATCGAATTAAACCAAAGAACAAAAAGTTTGTTTCTTTTGTAATTGAGTACTTTCAATAGAAGAAATTAAATAGAAAATATCAAAACAGTTTTGATTAAGTTTTGAAGAGATTTCAATATAAGGATAACGAGAATTAATAATATATTCTAATTCATCTATTTTGTTCATTCTAATTTTTTTAATATCTAACTTAGTTCCAACAACAATAATTTTAGATGGAAAAGGTGATATTCTTTTATTTCTTTCAATTTTATCAATAAATTCTTGTATTTCAGATTGATTTAATTCTACACTAATATCAATAAAAATAATAATAAAGTCACAAGTTTTACATATAAATTCTATACAATTAAAATGTTCTTGAAATCCAGTACTGTCAATCTATTAATAAATTATTATTATTATTATAAAAATATTGAATTTGCTATTTTTTTTTAAATAAAATCAAACAATAGTAAATTCTCTTTCAATTCTATCAATAAATAAATGAATTTGATATTCATTTAAACCAATGGTTCTTGATAATTTACTATTAAATTTATTGTTCTTAAACATAAATTTCTTTTAAAACTTTTTTTTTAATTAAAAAAGAAAAAGAAAAAAATTGTCAAACACATATTCTTTCACACCAACTTGTTTTACCAGCACCAATTTTACCAACTAAAAGAATTTTAGTACAATTCATTTTGAAGGAATGAAATAAATAACATTTTAGATATTTTTCTTTTAAAAAAAAAAGAAATAGTAAAAAAATTACAATATATTTGTTAAAACATAAAATAAGTAATTTATTCCTTTCAATTACAAAATGCAAAATTGTTCAGCAACTATCTTTCTAACTTTAAAAAAAGCTTTATTCATTCTTCCTCTTACAATAAATTTAGGTACATCTGATGGTTCTTTTGAAACAGTAATTGTTCCATTAGCACATACAATTGTTCCATTAACAATTTTAACATCAATATTTTCTGTTTCAATTGCTTTAGTTAAAACTTTAATTGGTAATTCACCAATATAAACTGATTCATGACGTTTTCTTTGTTGTCGAGTGATAGGAAGTAATGTTCCATCTTCTACTTTTGCATCAATTGGTCCTAAATTAAATTCTTTAAAATGATTTAATTTCATGACAGTTAATAAGCTATCATCGATTGTAAATGTTTCTGAAGGAGTTACAGGACATACAGTAGTCATTATTTCAGTATTATTAAATCCATAAATGTTACTATGAGGTAAATTTTGTTTAAACCATTCTATTCCATTTGGTTCTAATGCTGAAACAAAAACTAAATTCCTAGGAATTAATCTTGCAATAATTGATCGAATTTTAGTTGTTTCCATTTCAGCACTAACATCATATGATGCTACAGTACAACTAATAATTAATTCTTCTTCTTCTTTAACATATTTACGAGGATAATCTTCTATTTCATTAACTTCATCTACATCTTTATTTCCTAATAATGGTTCTTCAACACTCATTTCAATTTTAAATGTTGAAATATCTCCATAAACTGTTGTTTCAACTTTATTATGAAAAAATGGAAATAATCCTCCTACATCTTCTAAATCATCTTCATATAAATCTGTTTTAATTTGCCACATAGTTTTTTTATCTTCTTCACTTTCTTCTTCAATTTCCTCTATTTCTTCTATTTCTTTTTCTTGAACTTTTTCTTCTTCAATTTGATGTTCTTTATTTTCATTTTCTTCTTTTGCTTTTTGTTCTTTTAATGCTTCAATTTCTTTTAATTCTTCTTCTGTATAATCTTCTGTATGCCATACATCAACTTTAACACTTGTTTTTTGATTCATTGGATTAGCAAATTCTTCAATTTCACTTGCAACAGTTCCTTTTTGAGGTGGTTCAAGGAAAATAATTCCATTTCTTTTATCTCTACAAATTTTTAATAAAACATCTCTTGAAATACTTCCAACAGAGAAGGAAGCTAATGTAGCAAAAACAACACATGGTTTTCTTGCATCAAGGTCTCGTTTTAATTTCTCTAAATTATCTTGAAATGATATGTTTTTAAAATTAGTAATATCAGTCCCATCACGAACCCATTCCATTATAGTTTTATTCATTTCTTTAATTTGATCAGCTACACTTGAAATACAATAAAATGATGCATCTTTAATTACCCTATTAATATCAACATCACATGAAATATAAACCATTTCCATATATTCCATTATTCTTCCTCCACATTCAACAGGAAGTAAACAACATCCTTTTCTTAATACTATCTTTCTTATTTCCATCATAACATTATTTAACATTTCTTGACATTTCCCTAATCCTCCAATATCTGTTAATAATACCATTGGTCTATTAAATTTCATTATTTTACTTCCTTCTATAACAAACCCATTATTTAAATCATTTCCAACAGCATAAATAATTTCATCACATCCATTACATATTTTCCAATTTGTTCCTCCTAATGTTCTTCCACTTGGATGTGCTGATACTTCTACTTCTCCACATTTTTGTAATTTATAATATTCTAATAAAAATATTCTTTTATATGTTTGTTCTACATCTTTTAATCGATAACATGGATATCCAATTAATTGTTGTGTTTTTATAGCTTCTTTCATACAAAGATATCCCATTTTACCAACAGGATCTGTAGTATAAATACTACAATTTGGATTTTTATTTGCAATATATGGTAATGCTCCCATATGTCTTAAGTCTGAATGACTAATTAAAACAATATCAATGTCTGAGATTGAATCATATTTCTCAATTATCTCACGTGTAAAATTACAATCTACTCCACAATCTAATAATATCTTCGTTGAATTAATTTCTAATAACGATGAAATTGGTGAAGTTTTTCCTCCATCAAACAATGATCGAGTTCTTATACTCATTGTATTGTTAAATTCCTTTTTTTTTTAATTCTTTTATTTTATTTTTTATTTTTTCTTTTTTGCTTTGAATAAATTCATTTGATTATATTTTACTTTTTTTACTCTTAAAAATAATTTCTTCTTATTATCATAATCACTACTTTAATGCTTTTTAATTAATAATGTGATGTACTATAACTGGTACTTCTTTTATTTTTATTCCATTATTTTTGATAACTTATATCAAATATAAAATCAATAAATCAATAAATATTTTACTATTAGAATATATTAAAATTATTCTTTGTATACTATTCAAGTGAGTAAATAAAAATAAATTCATTATTCAATACTTATTTGATAATTATCTTAAAAATTAGTTATTTTATTTTAATATAAAAGTAACAAAAAACAGAATATCTCTATAATTTATAATTATAGTGTTTATTGCACCCATTTAATAAAAATTTAAGGTAATACCATTTTTGTTTTAAGGAGTTTAATTGAATTATAACGTTATTATTCAATTTTTATTTTAATACATTATTGAATCATTTTAAATTAGTAATAAAGGTTTAAGTTCAAAAAAAGGAAAAAAAAAGAATCAACAACCATGATATTAAAGAACTTGAAAGATATTAATTACAAATAATAATATTTATTTTGATTGTTTAATACTTTAAAGAAGAACCTTTTTTAACTATTGAACAAGAAGATTAGAGAATAATTAAAGAGGTAATAAAATTAGTATAATTATGAGGTATAGACTTTACTTCCACTCTAACTTTTAATATTTTTGTACTTTTTGTTGTTAGTTTAAAATAAAAAAAAATTGTTTCTTTAAATAAAAGAAAAACAAATGAACTAAAAATATTTTTAAAGACACAATAATGCAAACAACAATTAAAGGGAATGTTGTCAAAGGATTTCAAAGAGGAAGAACTATAGGATACCGTACAGCAAATATTAATCCAACAATTGAATTAGAACAAGGGGTTTATTATGGACAAGTTAAATTAATGGGAAAAGTTTATCATGCAGCAATTTCAGTTGGAAAAAATCCAACATTTTGTTTAAAAAATATTGTTGTAGAAGTTCATATTTTTGAACAATTTAAAGACGAATTTTATGGAGAAGAAATTGAAGTAAAAATAATGAAATTTTTAAGAGGAATGAAAAAAGTAAATGGAATTGATGAATTAAAGAAAATGATTAGTAATGACTGTAATATTATTGAAAATGAAATAATTCCAAATACCCCATTAATTAATATAACTGACTTTTAAATAGATTTATAAAATTAATTTATTTTAGTTTTTCAATACTTATATTTTTCAATTACTTTTTATTAATATATTGATCCATCTTTTGGTTTTAAATTTGTTGTATTATTTATGTATTGAAGTTTAATGAATTATTTAAATTAAAATGACTAAATAATAAATTGAATAAGTAATATAAAAATGATAATAAACAAGTTATTCAATAAAGATTAATTATAATAATTGGTAATTGAAAAACAAAGAGAAGTAATAAAAAGCATTTTTAACTGAAAAAAAAAATAAAGAAAAAGAATATTGTTTTGATTAATATTTATGAAAGATACATTGATTAGATATTTCAGTACATTAAATCATCAAATAATTAATAAATAAATATGAAAAAAAAAAGAACTACTAAACAAGAAAGTAATCATTAGAATATACAAAACATAGAAATTACTTTATACTATTTTTCATTCTTCAAAATAAAAATATAAAAGAAATTATTTGTTTATTTTTACAATAAAGAATTTATTAATTCATTAAATTAATATTATTTCATAAGCAGGGTTTTTTTACATGAGAATTTATTTACAGAAAAAATATAAATTAAGTTAAGAATATATAATATTATTAAATAAGTTTTTATCAAATAAATTTTTAAATATCTTTTAAGTATAACAAATAATATTTTAATTGAATAGTTTATATTTAACAATTATAAGTTAATTTGTCTCAAATAAGTAAATATAAAATCATTGTATTGAATTAAACGAAAAATTACTAAATTACGTTTCAGTAGATATTGATTTTTCTACTTTATGTTGCCCAAGTGAGACTATTTATTGTCTTTGACTCTTTTTCAAGTTTTATTCATGATGTACTTCTATATCTCTATATTCTCCTCTATAGTCAAAATCAGTGTATTTAATTAATAAATATTATAAAATAAATCAAAATTAATGTTTATTCTAATAAATATATTTATCAATATTCTTTATTAAATATTGTAAAATTATTCGTTTTTAATGTAAATTGAAAGAATTTTTATTGACACAATTCAATATTTTTCATTGAGAATTAATTATGTTATTTATTTTCTTTTTATTTTCCTGTTATTTACAAATAATTGAATTTAAGAATAATTCTATTTTTATTTTATAACAAACCCTTACATTTCAATTTGAATTAATTATTTTATTATTATATTTTTTATCATTTTAAATTTATTTCGATTCATTTATTTTACCAAAATTAACAAAATGCCTTACCAAAAAAATAACAGAAAAAAAAACTTGAAAAAAAGAGAACTATAAAAAGAAAAAGTAAAAAAAAAAAAAAGTAAAAAAAAAGAGAGAAAAAAAAAGAAAAGATAACCCTCCACTTAAACCCTAAAATGACCTAAAAAAAAACATTCTCCCCAACCTGGTATGACCACTGCTCAAAGTAATTTTTCAGACTTTGCTGAAAACAAAACTATTTTTGTTAGTGGATTATCACTTAATGTTACAGAGTCAGTCTTATATGGAACAGTTTTAAAAGAATTCCCAAACCAGGTTTTAAATGTCCATATTAATAAAGATAATTCACATGATACTTCTATTGCTTATATCAATATGAACACACATGATTCTGCTGCACAAGCTATTAGTAAATTAAATGGAACTATAATTGAAGGAAGAAAAGTTAATATGTTCTGGTCACTTAGAGATTATAAGCTTAGAACACAATCAGAAACTAATTTATATGTTAAAGGAATTAAGAAAGAAATTGGACAACAAAAAATGCAAGAAGTATTTGATAAATATGGAAATACTTTATCAGTTAAATTAAGTACTAATGAAAAGAATGAATCAAATGGATTTGGATATGTTAAATATTGTACTGTTGATGAATGTAAAAAGGTTATTGCTGCTAAAGAAGAAATTAGTAAAGAAATTGGAGACGCATCATTTGATATTGTTAAATTTGAAAAACAAAATAAGAGCCTTAAAACAAATATTTATATTGGAAATATTGATGCTACTGTTACTGAAGAACAATTCCTTAAATATTTTGAAACATTTGGTCCAATTAGAAAAGACGCTAGTGGTAAATTAGCATATAAAATTGTTCTTGATCAAGCTCACCAAAAGAATAAAGGATTTGTTAATTATGAAAATGTTGAAGACGCTCAAAAAGCTATTAGTTCTCCAAAGACAGGAGTTCTTGGATCAGGAGAAATTCTTATTGATTATTATAAGTCTAAAGAAGAAAGAAAAAAAGAATGGAGAAATGCTTTATTTGAAATCAAGAATAATGTTGCTGGAAGATATAAAGATTTTAATTTGTATATCAATACTGGAAAGAATCATACCACTAGTGATGCTGAGATTAGGGAGAAGCTCGGTTCTTGTGGTGAAATTTACAGTTTACAAGTTAAGTATTATAATAAACAACCAACTGAAGTTGCTTATTGTTGTTTCAAAGATGCTCAAGGTGCTCAAAATGCTTTAGCTAAAGCTAGTGAATTAGGATGGACTATTAACAAATTCATGACCAAACAAGAGAAGTTCATTTCTCAAAATATGTATGCACAAACTGCATATCCAATTAACTTCCTTAACTTCTTTCAAATGTTCAATCCAAATGTTATTGTCCCACAACATCCACAAAATCAAAACAAAGAAAAAGATCATCGTAAGAAGTCTACAAGAGAAGAATCAAGAAAACCAAAACCAATTGCTGAAAAACAACCTAAAGTTGAAAAAGCACCAATTATTAATGAGGATATGAAGAATGAACTTGGTGATCAACTTTATGATTATATCTTAAGTCTTGGACTTTATGATGAAGACCTTACTGGTAGAATTACTGGTGTTCTTCTTGAGTCTATTGAATATGCTGATCTTAAGAAGAAGATTGATACTAAATCTCCAGAATTGACTGTCATCATTAAAGAAATCGTTGAAAATTTGAAGAAGATTCAAAATTAATGAAGAGAAGCAATAAGACTAGTAGTTCGTTCTTTTATTTTTATTGTTTTATTTTTTTTATTTTAAAAAGTCTTTTTTAAAATAAAGAAGTGATATTATTTACTAATTTTTTTATAAATTAACTTTGTATTGATTTCTTTTGTATATTTTTAATATAACAAACTCTTTTAGATAATAAA